ATACATATATATAAACACATAGATAGATAGATAGATAGACAAATAGGTAGATAAATATATAAAAATCAAACGAACACACGTAAACAAGAACAACCAATCCAACAAACACATCAAAAAACAACAACAGCACCAAAGTCCCCTGAACGTCCCCACGCACTCAACACAAGCACAATGCACAGGATTCATAATTATAACTAACTTAACATTTTCAATCTTACTGATGACGCAATAGATTACTGCATCATTAAGAGGTATGAACTAATTGGCTCTCATTACTCCCTTGCAGCCTTTTATTGCAATTGAAGCCATTTGTTCGCGTACTAGAATGCAAGGAGAGAGAGAGAGAGAGAGAGAGAGAGAGAGAGAGAGAGAGAGAGAGAGAGAGAGAGAGAGAGAGAGAGGGGGGGGGGTAGAGAGAGAGAGAGAGAGAGAGAGAGAGAGAGAGAGAGAGAGAGAGAGAGAGAGAGAGAGAGAGAGAGAGATAGGAGGGAGAGAGGGAGAGAGAGAGAGAGAGGGGGGGGGGAGAGAGAGAGAGTGAGAGAGAGAGAGAGAGAGAGAGAGAGAGAGAATGAGTGATAGAGTGAGAGAGAGTGAGTCAGGGAGAACAAAAGAGCGAGAGAGAGCGAAAGGGAAAGAGATAGATAGATAGATAGAGAGGGTGGGGGAAGAGGGAGAAAGAAAGGGCAAGAGAGAGAGAAATAGAGAGAGGGGGGGGGGAGACAGAAAGAGAGAGGGACAGGCAGACAGAGGGAGCGATGGAAGGGGGAGATAGATATATAGACAGATAGAGATAGATAGGGAGAGAGAGAAAGAGAGAGGTAAAGAAAGAAAGAACGAAAGAATAAAAGAAAGAAATCGACCAAGAGAAAGAGAAAGAGAAAAAAATTACATATATATATATATATATATATATATATATATATATATATATATATATATATATATATATATATATATACATATATATATATACATATATGCATATATATATATATATATATATATATATATATATATATATATATATATATATATATATATATATATATATATATATATATATATATATATATATATATATATATATATATATATATATATATATATATATATATATATACATATATATATATGTATATATATATATATATGCATATATATATATATATATATATATATATATATATATATATATATATATATATATATATATATATATATATACATATATATATATATATATATATATATATATATATATAGAGAGAGAGAGGGGGGGGAGAGAGAGAGTGAGAGAGAGAGAGAGAGAGAGAGAGAGAGAGAGAGAGAGAGAGAAGGAGAGAAGGAGAGATAGAGAGAGAGAGAGTGAGTCAGGGAGAACAAAAGAGCGAGAGAGAGCGAAAGGGAAAGAGATAGATAGATAGATAGAGAGGGTGGGGGAAGAGGGAGAAAGAAAGGGCAAGAGAGAGAGAAATAGAGAGAGGGGGGGGGGAGACAGAAAGAGAGAGGGACAGGCAGACAGAGGGAGCGATGGAAGGGGGAGATAGATATATAGACAGAAAGAGATAGATGGGGTGAGAGAGAAAGAGTGAGGTAAAGAAAGAAAGAACGAAAAAATAAAAGAAAGAAATCGACCAAGAGAAAGAGAAAGAGAAAGCATTTACATACATATATATATATATATATATATATATATATATATATATATATATATATATATATATATATATATATATATATATATATATATATATATATATATATGCATATATACATATATATATGCATATATATATATATATATATATATATATATATATATATATATATATATATATATATATATATATATATATATATACATATATATGTATATATATATGTATATATGCATATATATATATATATATATATATATATATATATATATATATATATACATATATATATATATATACATATATATATATATATATATATATATATATATATATATAGAGAGAGAGAGAGAGAGAGAGAGAGAGAGAAAGAGAGAGAGAGAGAGAGAGAGAGAGAGAGAGAGAGAGAGAGAGAGAGAAAGAGAGAGAGAAATAAATAAAGAAACGAAAAATAAAATAGACAACAACAACGATATCCAGCTTTAATCCACCGATTGCAACCGCTTCTCTCACGCACCCCACACCCCCACCCACACCCCCACCTACCCCCACCTACCCCCAACCACCCAACCACCCCACCCAATCCTCCTTTTTTTTTTGCATCTAAAAGATCTTCGCAGAGTGCTCCTGGCCAGCCTCCCCCCCCCCCCCCCCATCACAAGAACCCAATCCCGGGCCAAAGGAAACGACCTTACGACCTGTGATTCTCAAGGCAAAGAACAATGCACTATGGCTTCTTGCACTGCCTTTAACGTCCCACCTTAAGAGATTCATAAACTGGATCATAAACACCTCTACTGCTTTCCCTGATCGTCCTCGCGAGAATAATTCCAAAAGGGGTTTTGTTTTAGATTTTTTTTTATTTTTTTATCTTTTTTTTTTTTTTTTGAGAGGGGTGGGTGGGAGAGGGGGAAGGGGTAATGGGTTTTGTTTTAACTCTTTTTTTAAGGGGGGAGAGGAAGGGTAATGGTTTTGCTTTAACTTTTTTTAAAGGGGGGGGGGTGTAAATGGTTTTGTTTTAACTTTTTTTTAAGGGGGGAAGGGGAGGGGAGGGGTAATGGGTTTCGTTTTAACTCTTTTTTTCTGAGGGGGGGGGGAAGGGGGTATTTGGGTGTAGGAAGATTATGGGATAAAAGAGGAAGGGGAAGAAAAGGGGTAAAGAGATGGATAATGGGTAATGGTGAATGGAATAAGGGATAAGGGGAAGAGGATAAGAAAGGGGAGAAGGAACAAGGCTTAAATGGAGGAGAATAAGGAAAGGGATAAGGGATAAATGGAAGAGGATAAGGAATAAGGGATAAGGGGGTAAGAGGAAGGGAATAAAAAAGGAGACAAGGTTGAAACGGATAAGAGGTAAGGATGAAAGGGATAACGGATAAGGGGAACAGGATAAGGAAGAGAATAAGGGGTAAGGGTGAAGAAGATAAGGAGAGGAAGAATTAGTAAAAGTGGAGGGGGATAAGGTAAAGAAGATAAAGAAGTGGACAAAGTATAAGGGTGAAAGGGGGGAATGAGATAACGAAGAAAGGATAAACGGCAAAAGACAAAAATAGGAAATAGAACAGGTATAGATCTAGCGAAAGAAAAGAAGAAGGAAAACGAAAGAAATGAATGAAAAGAAAACATTTATAGCAACAATAGATATATTTAATTATCAATATCCATCCATCTATTTGTCTTTCTATTAATACAGGCATTTTTTTAGCCATCTGCCTATCCATTCACTCTATCTACACTCAATTCATCTACTTATCCCATATCTTTTCGTTCGGTAGTAATAATAAATACGTCATGTTATCTGTTTTCTAGCTCCATTAGGATTTGAGTATTCAGAAAAAAAATAAGTAAACAGTAATTGAATTTCATTAAACCTCGATTTTTTCTGTTTCCTTTATTTACTATAAAAGGAGAAAGGAAGCAGAAGAGGGGGAAGAGGAAGAGGAAGAGGAGTGAGGAGGGTGGAAGAGGAGGTAGAGGATAATTGGGGAAGTGTGAAAAAGGAGGAAGAGTGGGGGAGGGTAGAAGAGGAAGAGGAGGAGTGGAAAAGGGAGGAAGAATAGGAGGAGGAGGAGAAGTGGGGGAAAGGAGGAAGAGTAGGAGGTAAACATCATTATTATCATTATCATTATTTTCATTACCATTACCATTATTGCTGTTAAAATTATCATTACTAATACCAACATTATATTTCCATTATCACCATCACCATCACTGTTATCATAACCATAACCATAATCATCATCATTATTGTTATCATTATCATTATTATTTACGAAAGAAGATTTCTTTTAGCCGTGGGGTCCATGATGAATAGTAAGACACTCTACAGTGTTGATATTATGGTAGAAAAACCCACAATGCAAAAACTAGATTATAGAAATTTCAGTAATCTAGTTTTTGCATTGTGGGTTTTTCTACCATTATTATTTACTTTACCATGATTGCTACAATTATCATCACCACTATTACTATTTTTATTTAGCTGTCGATATTGCTATTCTCTCGATTATTAACAGGTAACCAAATTGTGTTTTCAAACCCTTTTCAGGTAAATGGTTTCAATTGCAACAGAGATATAAGATTTCATATAGAGATTATACAGATTCCTATATAATCTCAATAATTCCCTCGTAATTATAGCAAAAATATGTTTATTGTATAGCACTGGATGTAATTTACATTTGCAATAAATAACTTGCATAAGGTGAATTAGCTGTATCGACCGAGGAAAGAAATCATATTATGAAATTAATTTTATTACGCAGTCGAATATGTTGGTTATATTTGTTTCTATTTCAACTGATTTATGACTGATGCACGTTTAATGCTGAATTTTGTTGCGCCTTGGCTTCGGAATAAATGTGCAGTGTGTCTTGAGTTACTGCTTATCCGTACTGGGCATTTTTGATCGTTGTTCTGTCTATCTCTATCTCTCCTTCTCTCTCTCTCTCTCTCTCTCTCTCTCTCTCTCTCTCTCTCTCTGTATCTATTTATCTATCTACCTACCATTCTCAATCTATCTATCTATAAGTCTATCTATTTACCAGCCTATGTATCTATCGAGTTACATTTAACACCATGTCTATATATTTCTCATTAAGCCTGCCTACTTCTTATCTCACATTCAAAGTACGTTATTACTTAATGATTAAAAAGATTATATACATACATACATACACAAACACACACATATATACACACATAAGTATATAATTAAGATAACAATTATAAAACGAGGAAACAAAATAGTACCGAGACCATAGAAACAAACAAACAAAAACAAAACAAAACAAAAAAAAACATAAAAACCAACATTAAAAACCTAAAATCTTCCTGTCGCAGTCCCCCCTGACATAATCGACGAGGAAAGCAGCTCTGAAGTCACGGTGAAGGAAGGCCATGACGTCACCTTGGTCTGCCGTGCGAGGGGGTCTCCCAAGCCGGTCATTTCTTGGAAGAGAGAAGACGGAGGGAGGATCGATCTCAACAACGGCATCAACTGTGAGTGTTCTTGTTTCTTTATTTTGTCTTTGTTGTTGTGTTGTTCTTAGGTGGTTTTGTTTTGATTTTGTGTTTTTTTTGGGGGGGTTTGTTTTTGTTTTTGTTTTGTGTTTTGGGGGTTTTGTGTTTTGTTTTGTTTTGTTTTGTTTTGTTTTTGTCTAGTCACATTAAAGGGAGAATCGATCTCAACAACGGCATCAACTTTGAGTGTTCTTGTTTTTTTATTTTGTCTTTGTTGTTGTGTTGTTCTTGGGTGGTTTTGTGTTGGGTTCGTTTTGTCCTTGGGTGTTTTTGTTTTCAGTTCGTTTTGTTCTTGGGTGTTTTTGTTTTGTGTTTGTTTTGTCCTTGGGTGTTTTTGTTTTCAGTTCGTTTTGTTCTTGGGTGTTTTTGTTTTGTCCTTGGGTGTTTTTGTTTTCAGTTCGTTTTGTTCTTGGGTGTTTTTGTTTTGTGTTTGTTTTGTCCTTGGGTGTTTTTGTTTTTAGTTCGTTTTGTTCTTGGGTGTTTTGGTTTTGTGTTTGTTTTGTTCTTGGGTGTTTTGGTTTTGGTTTTGTTTTGTTTTTGTGTGTTTTTGGGGTGTTTCTCTTTTGTTTTGTGTTTGTTCTTGATTATTTCTCTTTTATTTTGTTTTTGTTTAGTCACATTAAAGGGAGGATCGATCTCAGCAACGGCTTCAACTGTGAGTGTTCTTGTTTCTTAATTTTGTCTTTGTTGTTGTGTTGTTCTTGGGTGTTTTTGTTTTGTTTTTGTGTTTGTTCTTGATTATTTCTCTTTTGTTTTGTTTCCGTTAGTCTCATTAACCCATTCGCCCCACGTGATAAGAATACATACCATGCCCACTGCAATACACGTTTAGTTATTGTATGTACACATAGATGGCTCTACAAGTTCTTAATTACCAAATAGCCAGTTTATCAGAACTACCTATCTCACCTGTTTACCCTTTTCCTTCACTTTAGGAAAGGGTTTTTGGTATCATTTCATAGTATAAAATATTTTAATGACAATCTAATAATCATAACATCAATAACAATAATAACAGTATCGATAGCAATGGTATTACTTTTCCCGCCAATTCAATGAATGGGAAAATCAGGATCGGTAACTAGGGCCTACTGATAGACTCCTTGCCGGCTGAGCGCGTGTGGAGCCATCTGTATGTAACAAAATTCACGCAAAAAATAAAAAAAAAAAAAAAAAAAAAAAATAATAATAATAAAAAATAAATAAATAAATAAATAAATGGCGGCTGGGTTAACAACGGCATCAACTGTGAGTGTTTTTGTTTCTTAATTTCAGTTAATGTTTTGGTTTGTTTTGTGTTTGTTCTTGGGCGTTATTATGTTCTTGGTTTGTATTTGTTTTTGTGACTTTTGCTGGTTTTCTTTTCTCGTTTGGGTTTCTGTGTATTTGTTCTCGAGTGCTCTTAGTGTTTTTTTGTTTTGTTTTGTTTTTTTGCGTTTAAAATCATTATTTCGATTATCATTATTATTTTAATTATTCATTCATTTCATTATTTCTTTTTTCTAGAACTGGGGCTTTGGTTTGTTTTGCGTTTGTTCTTGCGAATTCTTAGTTTGTTTTCTTTTTTTCGTTTTCTTTTTTTGCTATTATTTTTTCTGTGTGCATTTGAATGAGATTTGTTTAGTATGTGTTTGTTTGTTCATGAGTGGTATTAGCCCTGGGTTTTGGTTAGCGTGTTTGTTCATGAATGTTATTGTTTTTGTGTGTGTCTTGTTCAAAAGCGGTCTTCATTTGTATTCGTTCATGAATGTTATTGCTTTTCTGTGTCTGTTCATGAACCGTCTTGATTTGTGTGTTTGTTCAATAGAGTTTATGATTATATGTTTGTTTATTGTTTTACCTTTATTGAAATAAGGCTTATTGTCGCTTCTCTTCTGGACATATAAGCATACAGATAGTCACATCAACAGACGCATGTACAGAGACATATATATATATATATATATATATATATATATATATATATATATATATATATATATATATATATATATATATACACATGTATATATATATATATATATATATATATATATATATATATATATATATATATATATATATATATATATATATATGTGTATATACAGAACCAATCAGACACAGAAACAGAATAGACAGTCAACCAGACAGACAGACAGGTAAAAAAGATAATATAAAATAAAATAAAATATTAACCTTTGCAAACAGACAAATATAATAGATAAAAAAATACATTAACACAGACAAGCAGATAAACAAATAAACAAAAGCCCAGAAGAAAAGATATGTACAAAAAAAAAGAATGTTATATGTAAAAAGGAAAGTCATGACCTAACGAACTTCAGTCACGCGCGGCAGGTATGGGTTTGTCTCTGCCGGGGGGCGGGGGGGGGGGGGGGGCGGTGCTGAGGTATTTTTGCCTTTGTTATGCTTCTTAATATGGAGTGTGACTTTCTGTGTGTGTGTGTGTATATATATATATATATATATATATATA